TCGTAATAAGATCAGGACTAATACTGGTAAACAACAATTCATAAGAATATATCAAATCGCGTTTTATTCTTCTAATTTTGAAGGAGTCCATATCAAATAATTTCAGTTTACGCAGCTAATTAGGACAGAAGAAATGTTTTTCCATGCTTTCGATTAATTTAATGGAGTTGAAATGCTTTCGATGGTAGCAACTACCATATTCATCTAATTATATTAATTCTAAACACAAGTTCAATGATTTTAAAAGATTTTTAAGACAAAAATCTAAAATTCTCATCAGCAATAAAAAAGATCTGATATATTCTCTTACTAGCTAAAAGGAATATTTCCATATGAATTAAAGGAAAATCAGAGTTTTTGGAGCTAATATGCAGAATTTTACACTTATCTGAAGATAATTTAATTTGTTTATCACAAAATCATTGAACCTTTTTTGTCTATACAATTTTTTAATAATGACGGATTCTCACTTTCCACGTATAATAAACTTTACAGCCATCAGTATACAAATATATTAGAATTGGATAAACATTGGTACCACATTGGTACCATAATAAACAACAAAGGACCAATGCAGTTGAACCCACCCCTGACTTAACTAGGGCCCTTTTTGAAAAAATATTATTAAATGGATTGTCTGTGGTAATGATTAATATAATCTCGCTTATTATCTATCTTGAATAAATTTCCAGTGATACCAAACTTATTAATTCCTAAGGAAAATATGTGAATCATTATTAAAGGCTTGACCTAAAATAAATAGACCACAGAAGTAATTTCATAGATTTGGATAGATTTGGATCATTTACAGCAATTTGCTATCAACTGGTTCTTTTCCAATTGAACCGCACTGAAAATTGGAAATCAAGGCATTTGCTTTAATTTATAGTCGTATAATTTATTGCCAAATAAATATCTCCATAATTCTACTATTTGCATCAGTTATATTTGTCAGTATAATAATAGATGTTTTCTATCTATCATTTTTTTTAGAAACAGGAGGACAGGAAGAGGAGCATATAAGACGATTTTTAAATTTTAGGAATTTGATATGCGTGCACAGTGGTAGCTTGCAGAAATTGTGCAATTTTTAAATTATTTTGCAAAATAATTCGAAGGTCTCTAGCAATAGCATTTTATAATTACCTTTATTCTGAGGATTACAAGAATAGTATTTGGTTATTAGTGGTTAAAAAATGGTAAAGCTTCTTTAATATTATTAAGAAATGAAAAAGACAATGACAAAAATGATAATATTTAACACATAACAGCTTAAGATACATATAAAATCCACGGCACCGCTTTGTTAGTTGGCGATGACGAAAAGTTCAGATTGTCGAAAAATCTGCAGTTCTGGCGTGAATCATTGATTTTTTTAAAATCAGGACTTAGAAAAAAAGATTTACAGATGAGAAGCTTTAGCCTCTTTGCTATAGGAAATTAGAAAGCTCTCATAAATTTTAAGAAATTCCTAAAATAATTAAGAATATCTTAATTAAGATTTGGCTAAAAAGCTTAAATAAATTAGGAATTATAAAAGAATAATGAAATTTACAAAAAGAATAATAAAATAGAAATAAATCGTGATAAATCAAATGATTTGGTTGGTTCATTAGATGGTGAAAAAAAAATTTGGATATTCCAAAGATTTAAGAGTTTTGCACGAAAAAAACGGTGAATTTTCCTGCTATCGAGCTATGAATACCTCCAAAAAAAGGAAAATTACCGTTCCAAACCGTTCCATTTAACATAATATGTGGAATTATTTTATGCAGTTGACCTATATAATCTATTGTTTAACGATTTTTCGATTCGTTCTACTGTTCTATTAAAATAAATTAAAGCACCTAATTTTTAACACTTGATTTTTACTTTTTTTCAACATCTTTGAGAAATTATATGCAAAGAACGAATGTTATTTGACTTTGTACATTTGTACATACTTAGGTAAATGAGAAAACTTGCGAAGATAATTTTGCGTCAAAAAACAAAATCCACGGGAATTTAGGGCAAATAAACGAATATACCTTCGCTTCCTAATAATTCTTTGGATTTCGATAGCGATTCTCAGAATCTATCATTACGATCGTAAATCGATAAAAATTGGTATGGGATAATAATAGATGGGATCGATTAAGACAATGTAGGATAAATTTGACAATATAGATTAACGAAAAAGATTGTACGTCAAGCAACAATGGAGATGAAGAAAAGGTATTATAAAAGGTATTATCATTTCATCAAAACGCAGCGAAGAGAACTTGGCAAATGGCAGTAATTGTATGAATTTTTTCATCTTTTTCATACGCAACACTTCTGGCTTTCCTAATTCCGCCACCTATTTTTAATAATAGGGAAAAGTGAGATTGTTTTCTCGGAGAGTTGCTTGGAGATAGAGGTAATTCCTCGGCATTATCACCTTTAATAATGGACTGATAGGCCCATTCTTGCTATAAATAGAAGGAGTAAATAGCAAACTTAGTAAAATGAATCAAAATTTGCGGAACGAAAAGTTATAAATCTAGTTTTTTGTGTATTTGAGAAAACCTCTTCCACTCTTCAGAAAACTTGTTTTAGATCATCGCCAGTTTTGTGATTATATTATTTGAGAACACCTAAAATTTTAATAGCGTGAGTTGATCTGAAATACTGCTGCAAAATTAGTTCAAGGGGGCTTGCAAGTATTGTTGAGTCATATTCGTCCGCCTCTTACTTACTGCATCAACAGATTTATCGTTTCGCATCAGGGAGAGGTGCAAAGATCATGGTCGCCAGATAGGTTATATAACTGGTGGAACGACTGCACATTACTTTCGCGGAAGTACAGTAGCATACGTTTATTTTCTTTTAACAGGAAAAAACTTGAGATCCACTGGGATAAAAAGTAACGCACCATCTGTTTGTGAATGAAAAAAACTTAAACTCACCTACGTGGTCGCTGATTGCAGCCGAACTAGAAATAGTATGCACTGTTAGAGAAAAATTGAGAAAAATTGTACGAACTAAGTTTCAGCTGGTCAAAATCGCCTTCAATTCTTATTTTATAATATTATTTGAAACGATTTTTACTGAATGCATATATTCCTCGTAGTTATTATAATTTAGTGCTAATTTGATTAGTTGCAAGGAATTTAAACCGACTTAACCCTCTGTAATTACCGCTTCCTCCTTCCTCTTCTTCTAATGGCACTCGTCATATCCGATTTGGCTAGCTTTAGTGACTGTTACGATGACAGTCTGCGAGTCATTTGTGGCTCGAAGTATACGTGGATCATATCTCCATTAATCTGCATCTAGTGTTATTGCTATCGTTAGTGTTAGTGTTGCTGAATAGCTAAAACATTGATCACCTTGAACTCTAAGCGAAATTTTTAAATCTAATTATTTTCCTATAATTCGAGAAAGAATTTATAATTTTATTGCTTATTATTATTTATTATTATTTTATTTTTATGAATTTCGAAAAGAAAGATCTCACTAATTATTCTTTAAATTTAATTGAAAAAAACTTGCGTTATAAATTACGGTTACGGTTAAGACCATATGAATTTTTTGGCGGAAAGATCATCTAAATCGCTTTCCGCAATGGCCTTTGGAGAAAATAATGGAGATGGAAGATTTTTAATAATTCAAAGACCTATTTCTCGCATCGACTTCTACAAAAGTTTTATTTTAAGCGATTCCTCTTTAATTTTTATGTTAGTGCATAAGATTTTGCTTATTTATTTTGTTTCATTTTGAATTATTAATAGAATGCATATATGCTTTTTTCCAATTCAGTTTAATTCCATACAGTACAAATGTTGCCGATTCTTTTATTTCTCTGTCGATGTATTTTACAAAAAATTAAGTCAAAAAAATTCATTCCTGATTATAATTCTTATTTGGAGATCCCATAAACTTGATAGACCCCTTCTGATTCTGTTTTATCATATTTCTTACTTATCATAACGGTTATTATATCGGAAAAAGAGATTGAGCAGTGCTAATCTATAATATTTATAGTGGCTATTGGCCGTAATTACTTCAACTCAGAACAAATTTATTTGAAGAAAATCGAACAGAACGACTTGAAAAGACAATCAAAAAAATAAAAATAATGACTTGAGATATGCAAACAAAGATTGCTTCATTGTTTCATTCTCATGCAAAGGCGAAAAAAGAAAATTACATGTCAGCTCTCTCCTAAAATCTTCCATAGATTTTTGAAACTTCTATTATGTTACATAATTTTGTGGCTCATAGCTAGGTAGCTATTTCGATGAAATTCAATAAGAATCATTTTTTATTTAGTGTTTTGACGAAAAGCTGCCGTCAAGACATCATATATCGATATTAATTTATGCAAATAATTTCATTTACTTTAATTAATTGTCAATATAATATTCAATAAGAATTAAGAATTCTTCAGGGGAACGGTAAAAAAAATGATATAAGTGATCTGTGTTTCGGAAGATCGCGGAGGAACCATAATCTAGTTTATAGGAAGGAAATTACATTTATTTTCCTTTATTTTATTAGCGATGACGCATTAAAAATATTTCTGGCACGAATGGAAACGGCAGTTCGAATTTTGCTGAATACTCAAATACTCAAAAAGAAATACTCAAGAAGAAGAAGAGGAAATACTCAAAAAATTTGGAATTTCAACAGAGAGGTTGATCGTTAGGCTCTTTCCTCTGGCTATATGTATTAAGCCATTGATGTGTCCACCTTCATTCTCTATGAAAGGAAAGAATCAAGCAGTCAGTGGGTACTTTAGGAAAAAACATCCATCCATCAATATAATCTCTGAACAAAGCTTCAAATTTATTTGATAAAAAAAACGAAAGATACATTGCATTTTTCGAAATAACAAAGATTACTGAAAATACTAAAATCTTCGAAATTCTGCGATTATTCGTATAATCTAATTTAATCAATCGTTCGTCATTTGTACGCATAACATATATTTTTTTCATTATAATTAAATGTTTTACTAAATCTATTCGATGAAGGAACTACGCCTTGCGAGCACGATTTTTTAAATGTTCAAAGATCTCGTTGTCTGTTGCGAATTGAGTTTTAAACGGTGCATCGAATTTGCAGCCAAAATCCATGATAACCGTACTACTTAAACATTTACCTGAGCGCCAAAGTAGCCAATCTTCACCACGTTGTTCAATCTGAAAAAACATCGGTCCTGAGACAAATATTTCTTCAGGCCTTTTATTTGTGGTCCAAAGATGAAATGTGCTCGGCCACTTTGCATTTAAATATTCGATCAACTAAAATTGTGACTATCATCTCGAAACAATTAATTTCTAATAGATTAATCTTGATTTCAATTTAGAAAAGAAAACATTTTTCTCGAGATCTCGAATATATAATTATATTTTGCCATTTTGATGGCCTTGATTCCTATTTTTTTAATTTTTTTTATTAGAATTTTAGAGCTTAAATCTCGAATTTTTATGTATTTTATCGAGTCGATAAGTTGTACTAGCAAATTTCTATTAAGGAGAATCCTAGGAAAATATTTTTATAAATGCATAAGCTTGGATAAATTATGGACTCGGAGAGAGGGGCTACCAATCCTGGCTAAATAAAATCTTGGGAAAAGAATTAATGAATAATAAGTATGGAATATAAAAAAGACGCAATTCCAAAACTTATAGTTAATGTATCTTATAACCTCGATGAAAATGAAATTTTCCTAGGACGTTACAATATACTTAACGACTCTTAATAAAAAGAAATTACTCCATAAGTATAAAATTTGAAGCAGGATTTATGGCTAAGTGATCGTGCATGGTATACGCTATGTGCTTTGGGGCAAACCAAATCGCAGTAGACTCGTTCATCGCCTTCGTTTGTTTCCTAAAAAAAGAGATAAACTTTTGCAATAAATAGAAGTTAAAACTCGTGAATTTTCTTAAAATATAAAAAAGTGTCATCATTATAACAACAATAAAATTTTTTGCAAGTTTCACATTTGTTCCACACTGTGCAATCGGTGATTGATTAATTCATAGATGTTACAATATACTTAACGACTGTAAAATGATCCTTTTCAATGAAATTTTGTGGAGATAATATGAAGAGAATATGTAGAGGAGTCTTAAGCTAGAAGTGAAGTAAATGTTAATATGTTTAAAGATAAAAGCGAACTTTAAAGCAACCAGCTTCTTCAGGTGCTTTTCGGCCAGGCTCTTCATCTTCTGTATCCTTTATAACCAAATGACATTTTGATCGTTCAGAAGAATTTGAAGCTACACAATCTAATTTCCGAAAATCTAAACTTTGTAACCTTTTAATGCCATCAATTTAATAAACAATAAACAACAATTATGCCAAGTGGAATATGAATGCAGCCAAGGATATCACCACTTGATCGTGATGATATCAAGCATATGCCATTAAGATACCAAAAATATCTTAACTGTGGTAAATAGGATAATATGAAAAATTTTAATTTGAAACTTCAGTCATTACTGAAAGCCTTTCATTCCGTCCAGGTAATCATTTTTAATCATTCCTTCTTCTATCTAACAGCCATTCTAAACACCATTCCTAATGTGCAAGCTCCACTGACGACTAGTGTAAAGCGTTTAAAAAACATTCGGCACTTGAGAGTGGAGGGGATGGAGTAGTGCGGGTATGCAGAAATCGTGATAGGTAGTATCTATGTTAACGTTCTTTCTGCCCATTCTTATTTCTCACTTACTTTCTGATGTTTTTCTCCTTCATTTTGTACAAAATAATTCTCAGTGTTTGCCTTGCCATTACGAATAATTTTATCCTTAGAGAGTCGATTGATTTCGATAATAATTAATAAAACGTTCTATTACTTACGTGCATGTGCACAAGTTGCAGCCACAAAGGCGAGAACCATCAGAAGATGTCGCATGGCGATTCTTTGACCGAGTGCAGCTGCGAAGAGAAGTGGGTTTTTATAAGAACCGTCGTCTTTTGTTTCAATCAAAGGGGATATACGAAGGAATATAAACAAAATTTTTAGGCTGGTTTTGCTGGTTTTTTATAACAATAGATACTTTAATCAGGTTTTGCAATTTCCTATAATAATTTCATCACATCGACTAAACTTTCGTGCTATCTCTGGAATAATTTCAACTCAATCACTGCATTTTCCCCGAGCGTTCCCCTCAACTTCACTAGCTTCATTCCACACTTTTACATAAGCCATGTAGCACTAATTTCATGAAACTACAGTATCCAAGTCTAAAGATCCAACTTCTTATTGCATTTTTAAATAAATCATCAAAAAAAAGAATTCAAAGAATAGCGGTTCCTTCGTCTGACGCCAAGTGGCTTCCATGTCACTAAACCTGCCGTCAGCAGCGATCCAAATCCAGAGGATCCAGAGCAGACACTTTCCGGTCGTTAATCGCTGGATGTCCGCTCATGGTTCATGGTCTTCAAATGATTTCCATACGGCTAGCAATAGCATTTTCTTCCATGTTTCTGCGCAATTAAACGACTGTTCTCCATTTATTATGAGATTTTGCATCAACACTCCATTATACATCATTTAACAAAAAAAGGGCCTCGTGTGCTTTAAGTGATCTTTCCACACAACGAGGAAAAATGTTAAACGCAAAACGCCGACTTTTAGCCAATGCTATCTTTCGGTACATAAGAAGGATTTGAATTTAGAACGCGTTTTTTTTCTTTGTTCTATATCCTTTAGGTATTCTGGCGTTTATTTCGTACATTTGCGAAGTGGTACTTTTTCAGTTTCATCCATTTACTCAAAAAACGTAACAGTAAGTTAATTTTCAAGGAAAAAGTGGATGGATAGCATATTTGAAAAAGAATTATTATTTTCGTCAACATTCAGACAAAATCCGTCAAAACACATAAATGTGCCAGGTAAATGGAATTTTGAGAAAATTGGAAAGAACGTAGCGAATCGCTTAGAAGTAAGCGAGCACTTATGGAAACCATATAAATAGAAACTGCATTCGGGAATATTTATAAAGCACTTGCATATTGGCAATGGCTTTTTATTTCGCCCCTCCCCTCTGAACTTTGTGTTTTAGGTTGAAATCAGGTTTTCGGTCACTTGGGATCCACTTGAACACTCAGCCCGACTCTCTGTAGCAGTTGATTCTGCACCGACTAAGTGCGCAGTTTGGTGATTCAATGAGGATAAGTCCGATCCTTCGTTAACTTTTTGTACTTTATAAATTTTCAGCTCATGAAGTACAGTCTATACATAAAATAGAACCTGAAATATCAGCCGGTTGCTATGATTTTTGGGATGCAAACTTTTTCACTGATCGCTTTATTATTTGGTATGTTACTGAATATTTCTGTGTGTTACGTTTTTCTATAAAGCGAATTTGACATTTTACTTGGTTTTATTTAGTTTTAAGGATTAAAATTAACCCCAAAAATATCAATTTTAAGTATTAAAATTCTCATTTAGGCGTGCATCAGAATCGAGCCTATATTTAGAAGAATATAACGTGGATAATAATTCGCCGAATGACGGAATTGTGATAAATTTTAAACCTTCAATTATAATTCCTGGGACTCGAATAGTTTTCATGAATGGCTTTTTTCTGATTCTTGTTCCTACGCAAACATCGCTTCATCGTATTGTTCTTGGATTACCGTCGTCTTATCGTTTCAAAAAATTTGACAAAGTTTGTTTCTTTTTTAAGCCATTTAATTACAATAAACATTAAGAGGTGAATAAATATGATGTATTAATTAATTTTCTAAATTATAAATGCCTCCTAGATGTAATGAAAAATAAAATTGCGCTTCATAAATATTTGAGTCATAATAGCCAAGCAAAATATGTCTTTCGGAAAGTCAGTGTTCGCCAAATACTTAAATGAGCTTAATAATTTCAGTTTATATATTAATCATCGTGATTTTTAAATTTTTTGACTTTTCGTTCTAATTCCTTTGATGATAATTCAGCTGATAATAATATATATCTTTTGATCTTTTCGATACCATTTTTCTTCGTCAGGTTTTCTTTCGAAAAAAGTTATTTTTTTATTCCTGAGGATAAAATGTTTCAGTACTATCGAGCATTTTTCAGTTTTTTTAACATTTTGCTTTTTAAAAAGCTTTCGCTGTAGGCTTCACAGAAATGAAAATTTTTGATTTTTCGAGATCACCTTAGAAACTTTAGCGTATTAGTCAGTGATGTCAGCCAAATCGAAAGTGATGTTTGAAGAAGATTCTGTTTTTCAGGGTCAAGGTCCCTCATTTATATCACTTCTTGTTGATGAATTTGCAAATTCTCGAAATTATTACCGCTATGATTTGTCAAATCAAATAAATGCCATGCGGGCTGAAATAGCTCAAAATGAACAAGACACCTTGGCGATTTTTTGTACGGTTGATGATCGAACTGTTTTCGTGGAATTACTTCATGGAGTGACAACTCAACCTTTCTGTTGGTGCTCATTCATTTCAGATTTTCAGATTTCAGATTTTAACTTTTGTTCCATCAAAATTTATATTCTTTAAATGTTTCCTTATTTTCTTAATACATAATACGAAAATGCCTTTAAATCCTGTCATTTTTCTATAGTTTTGTTGTTTTTCGTTTTTACCGTAGTCTATCAGTTCTTTTACCTAAATTTATTTTATGCCACTTTAGCCTCTTTAGAATTAGCCATTCCTCGTATCACCCAATCAGTTTTATTATGGTCTGTTAATTCCTCAAACGTCAAACCTCGATTGCAATTTTGCTCCAGTCAAGAAATTAGAATTAAAAAATAAATTTGTGGATTGTGGTTCGAAAGTGTGTTGAGAGAATAGAAAAAGTTTTCAATATCAAGGCGTATCAGAAATCGCAGACTTTTGCATTTCTATTGGAACCAAGCTATTTTTTTATATTAAGCCCATTTATTTTTTTTGACATTACTGTTTTGTAACATTTCTTACAACATTGTACTACTCAGTCAATCCTTCTATCTTTTTCAGATTCTATTTAGTGCCATTTAATACTTTTCTGGCCAACCGTCTGTGTTATTTCGGTGCTTAAGTTCCTCTCAAACCTCGCTTTTATTTTATTCTTTGATTGCCTTTCTAAACAATGCTGTTTTGTCATTTCTTATCTTTACACTTTCATTTTCTGATCTTAATAGTTCTTCAGGATACTGCAGTCAGTTAACATCACTTCAAACCTAGTTATACTATTAATCGTTCTACTGAAATACCAGCACTTTACCAAGTCCTATTAAATTATTTTCTTTGCTTTTTATTTTTTCCTATTTCTAACTTACCTAAAATCTTTTTCTATCCTTTTTTTTTATTTTCCATCTGTTGCTTGGTAATTTAACCTTAATATTATCATTCGAACATTCATTGAAAAATTCAAAGATTCGAAGATAGATGTTTTTTATCGTCCATAAAAACTATAGACCTTGTAAAAGTAAAGAAGTATTTTGAAAGGAATTCAAGGGCTCGGTAAGTTTGTAAGTGTTAAGTGTTTTTTTTTTAGAAAGTTTTAAGAGAATTTCACTGTTGATGGTAATCGAAGAACATAGCAAGAGTTTTTTGTAAGTCAACTTTTTGAACTTTTTGAACAGTCTTTGAAAATATTTTTTTATTTTCTTTTATATTTGACTCCAGTTATCATGTCTATCTTATTCTTTAATGGGCTGAAAATCTACCCATATGAATCTTTTTTGCTGATAAACTTATAAAACAATATTTTGTATTTTTTAGGTCAAGAAACATTTTTGAAAGTGGATAGCTTTTTAAAACGAATACTACGTGGTGGATCTGACATTTCTCTGGTATTAAGCATAACATCTTGCATATATATGAATCGTGTCTTTTTCTATATATTCCTCAATGACGGCTATATACACATCTATTCTGTATTTCTTTTTTTTTCTAGGAAATTTTATTGAATCATAAGAATAATTCAAATTGCGCTTAAAATTTCAGTTTTTCGGTAATATTGATATTTAGAGAATACTTATATTATAAAAAATTTTTATTTGATACTTATATTACCCTACGATTATCATTTCAAGCAGACATATCATTTTATTGTCAAATTTCAGGAAAGCAAAAAAGAATTCAGCTTAGATCTATTAACTTTGTTGAGAACAGATATTGTTCATGGTGTTGGAAGAGGTAAAAGTTTTTTTGGATGCTTTTTAGAAAGAATTAATATAAGAGATATTTCTTGTTTAATCGGTTATATGATATAGTCAAATAATGGTTCATATTTTACTGTGAAATAAATATAAAGATAAAGATACTGTACTATATCTCTTTTCAGTTAGGAGTGCATCGCTATTTATTCATACTTATAACGAGATTTTTTTTGCTATTTTGCTATTACAATCAGAATTCGATACTTTGGTAAGGAATTCAGATGGCTTAAATTTATATTTAAAGGAATCTGAAAAGGGTTTAAGAATTTGAAATTTTGAAATTTTCAGAGGAATTTTCAGGTTGCTATAATCAAAATTAATCCATCAGGAAAATCTGCCGCTCAGCACTTTCAGTTATTCAAAATTCTCCATCTTCCATCGGTAAAATTTCAGTTTTATCTTCAAGGAACTAGTAAACTTTTTTTAGAATTTTTATTTGAATATTTTGTTGTTCCTTTTTATAATTGGATGAAATACCAGATATCCATTTTTAAAGGAGATAACTTTTCTGATTTTCAGCGTGAAGTTTTGAATATTGCTTGCACAAATTGTTATAATAGTTTGGCAATCCACGCTTTATGTCCCATCTCTAATGGCTACACATTGCTTTCTTCATTAATCGACTGGTTTGCTAAATTAAACGTTTATCAAACATAAAAAGAAAGTAACCCTTACCTTTTTCGTTGAATATTTATTTCTTTTTGATCCATCATTCATTGGAATAATAGATCTTTGCTCGATCATCTATGCTATTCGTAATATCCAACTATTTCATTAGCATAAGATCCTGTTGTAGCAGTGGATAATTTAGGGTTGCTGAAATTGTTTCAATTTTTTTTCAATTTCTGCTATATTTGATATTCAGTACAACCGGAATGATTTTGCGGCATTGGAAAGAAGCACTGTTATCGAGCTTTTGTGATTTTTCTTTTCTTGGGTCTATATTAAAAAATGAAGATCCGGCTGCAAAAATGAGTGTAATATTTAATCCAGACATGTTTTCTATAGATGTTATTCGACGCGCTGCACAGGTTTATAGTCTGATTTTCTTCATTTTTTAATTAGGATTTTGATTACATATGAAATAAAGTGAGTAGCACTTTTTTGTCATTATCAGATTATTATTGAATAATCATCTATTTTTCAAAAAAAAAAAAAAATCTCGTTTCATTAACTAAATTTAATCTGGAAAATACTGATACTAGAATTTGTTATCTTTCAATTTCGAATCTTATTTTCTGATTGAAGATGCGATTTTCGAACTGTGCTCGACCATGTACAAATTTTGATTTACTTTAATTTTTTAATTTAGTTGGTTTGCAAAAATTTCTTGAGGGATTGGCCATCAATAGAAGATGCAAACTGGAAAGGATTGCAGAAAATGATAGATCATTACATATCTTCACCAGAGGTAATTTTCTTTTCTTGCAGTTGTATCAAGCCCCTATCTTCATGGATTTGATAGTTCGAGCCAAGATCCGCATAAAATGGGCAAGAAACTGCTTCGCTCAGCATCTTTTAGCTATTTCGAACTAGAAGATTCGGAGATATTTCATACCGAATTAATGAAATATGCTTAAGTTGTATAGATAAGCTTAAGACTCCGGGTTTCCGGACTGAACTCTTCAAGTGCTATCTTCCATAACGCATCTTCAATAAACATACTCTCTGGTTTGGGAAAAAAAATAGTACTAGATGTCTGGAGCAAAGCAATTCTGTTCCCAATTTTCAAAAAAGGTGATAGGATATACAGCAACAATTATCGAGAAATCAGCTTACTAGTTTCAGCGAAGATTTTTTTACTCAGTAGACTTGTGGAAGTACGAAATATATGGAAATATAGCGCCCTAATCAAGCTGGATTCAGACTGGGGTGCGTTTCTGCTGACCAGATATACACTTCAAGAAAGGCATTGGAACATCGCTTCAAATATTTGCAACCAACTCGCTGTCAAGTGTTTCATCGATTTTGCGGCTGCCTTCGATTCAATTCTTAGGGCGGCGCTTTGGAGAGTGATGACACGCAACGATGTTTCAGAGATCATTCGACTCGTAAAGGCATTTTATGAGCGTGTGCGTCTATGTATATGGGGGCTGTCAGAATTGTTTAAAATAATTATAATTGAATAGAATTGATTTTCGCGTCATTTTCTCTACAATATTCAATTATGCGATAGATTGGATAATGGACACCACTTGTCGGCACTCAAGAGATGTCCAAATCAGTCCAGAGCCTCGTATCACAGATCTTGAATGAGCTGATGATGTAGTCCTTCTTGCTGACAGTTATGACGAAATGCAAATAATGCTAAACAGCGTATCAGCAACTACAGCAAGAATCGGATTCAGTGTCAATAAACCGAAAGTCTTTCTATCTTATACACAAGAAGCTGAAATGCCTCTTTTTATAAATTCATTGCCTGTCGAGGAAATGCCCGATTTTAAATATCTTGTATTCACTTTAACACCAAATGGCCAGGCAAAAGACGACATTACAACTCGGACTGTGGCAATGAGAAATGCATTCTTCCGATTGACGAAAGCTTTATGGAGACATCGTGAAATCACAATAAAAACGAAAGTCCGCATCTATATAGCCGCGATTCGTTCAGTCTTGCTATATGGCTGTGAGACATAGCCAACGAGAATGGAGGATATTAAGAAGTTATCTGCCTTTGACCACTCAGTTTTAAATTACATTTGGGATAAAATCTCAATAAAATCTCACGTTCTTCGTCGCCCACCACAAGAATTGACATTTCGTTACTTGCTAAACCCTCTGTTGGGTGGCGTCAGAAACGAGTTGGATCAGTCAAGACCTGGACTGATGCGGCCAAGAAAGAGTTTGAACGTGTAGGTGGACCAGCAATATATGGACATAGACGATGGAAAAAAAAGTGGTTTCTGTTAATGTCGACGATGGCATCAGATCGCGCCGCTTGGAAGCATCCTACCCTTGTAACCATTGTAGCCAGTCTAACCGTAATGGTATGAGCTGTTAAAAGAAATGATATAGATAACAGCAAGATCTCTGGAACCGGAGATGTATTGGTCCCAACTGAAGGCTTGTCTCTGAAAACCAGCTTTTTTCACACTAAAATATACTGGCAGGAAATGTTCTAATTGAGTATCGGAATCAACGATCCAGTTATCTGAAAACGCTACTAATACACGAATGTTTGGAGATCCTGACTATTGAATGCTTTGAAGAATTACAACAACTGCAACAGGGCGGGATAGAAATCGCTATTGGAGCGCTATATGCTTGAGAATAGAGATAGCTGCTCGATTAAGTGATAATAAAGAACTATTCTACCTTCACAAAGCAACTCGGGTAACGATCGATGAAATGGTACTGGATAGCAATGGCCTATTACCAGAATATGGAGGATCGAGAGTCGAACGATTTATTTGCAATTGCGAACCGTCAACAGAAAAGGGAATAATCGTCATCCAGAAATTTCAGACCAAAAAAACTGAAATGGTCCTTGGATTGAATTCTTCAAATGCTATTTCATACATCTTTAGCGAATATGCTCCCTGTTGTATTCCTGCTATTGAAGAAAGAAATAGTACCAGATGACTAGAGATGACTAGATAAAGCAATTCTGCTCTCAGCTCTCAAAAAAGACAATAGGACATATTGAATTATCGAGGAATCAACTTATTAGATATCTTCCAAAACATTTTTATGAAACAGCGGGATGCGTCCTAATCAAGCTGGATTCAGACCTGCGTGGAGTTGTGCTGACCAGATATTCACTTTAATAAATTAGAACATCGTTTCAGATGTTTACAACCCACTATTACGTGTTTTATCGACTTTGCGGTTGTTTTCGATTCATTTGATAGGTACTTTGAAGGATGATAGAACTCATCGGTTCTAGAGAAGATCATTCGACTCATAGAGAAATTTTTTCAAAGTACGTCGAGTCAATATATATGGGGAACTCACAGTCTACTTTTTTGAAATAAGAACTGGTATCCGTCAAAGCTGCGTGCTTTACTTTCTCCTACGGTGTTCAATGCTGCTAGAACCTGGCCACTGATAGTGGTGGATATTAAGAAGCCTTTGATCATGTCTAAGATATTTCTTACAAGACCGCCGAGCGTATAAAATAGCACATGATTGCGTTCATTCTCGCTCAAATATCACTTCCATTAACAGTACTATCACATAATGTCGTCTTTGCTGGCTGGCGCCTATCAAAGGAGTTGGCTTATATTTCGCTATTTGAGCCAATAGAAATGAGCCAATCAAGAATTGGTCTATGGTCAGAAAAGTTGGATTTTTGAACGTAAGGACCGGCGATATATGGATTTAGCGGTGGAAAAAGGGATGACATCAGAGCGAGTTGCTTGGAAATATTTTACCTTTGTAAGTCAGCAAAGCCTAATGGTGAGAGCTGTTAGAAGAAGAAGGAAATCAAGCTTCTATAGTTATCTTAACTACTTTTTTAGATAAATTTTTTCTGACCATTTTTCATTTAAGAAATTTTTTCCCATTTTATATTTCTTTTTTGCGAAAAGTTGCCTTCAATTTTTAAAAATTTTTTGCTTTTTTATATTCTAATAATTCTTTCACATTTGTCCGTTGAATTTTAGTCTCAAAAGTTTCTTTGTAGTTTTTTGCAAATGGAGAAAAATCCAATAATTTTGACATTTTAACCAGTCCGCTAATTTTTACTAAGTTAAAAATGGTTTAATTTGTATTCTTTGATGATTTAAATTTTTTCAGTTTGCTCAAAATTATATGAGTCGTGGTGAAAAGTCTCTTCTGTTGGGAAATAAAAGCGATGATAATGGAAATGAAAAGTTTTGGAACACATTTTATAGACTTTGTGTACAGTTTCAACAAAATGAGAATCAGCCATTAGTAACTTGGTCATCATCTGTATTTGGTCTTTATGGCGTAATAACAAAGGTTTTTCGTTATCTTTATGTAAAGCTTTGGTTAAGAAAAATTGCATTGCTTTATGAGATAGAAAATTGCGTAAAATAAAAAAAAACCAAATTATTTTTCATATTTTTAAGGTTTTTTAAGTTTTATATTTCATTTGGATTTTGTAATTTTTTCCTTAATGTGGAATTAACTGTTCTTTCTTTAAGGGAAATTTTACTATATGCCGGCCTAATGATGAACGTATGAATTGGTTAAATACAATATTTGATGAATTACCGGCTCAAAAGTCAGCATTCGAGAAGTGTATGACTGTTGCATCGAGGGTTGTTTTTTGTGGAATGGTATTAATATATACTTTGATAAACTTTTACAAACATATACTATTTGATCGATTTTTTTTAAATTATTAATTTTTTTGTTGGTATTTTTGAATTATAGGACAAGACATGCCTTTCATTTGATGAAATAAAAAATTTCACTACATGCTTTTCATCTGTAAATCTCCTTATAATGAACATAATAACAAAACTTCTCGAATTCACTCCAATAGATCAACCAGTACGATGTATGTCTATTTTTAATGCTTTATTTCATGGTGATTTATATCAATCTGTATATTTATATAAAGGCTATGTCAATCTGTAATTTTAGCATCAGTGGTTAAAACTTCTTTGGCGGGTGAATTTACTTCACGACTAGTAGCTGTTAATTTTCGTGCCATTATCGAAGGTAGACTGCATTTTATAAATTGTTTGATTGCCTTGATATCAATCGTTCGCTGGGTAAATTTTTTTCTAAGCTTTATTTTCTTTTTTATTTTTTAAAAATATTTTAGATTTAGGAAATAGGGATCTACAAAAAATTTCTCTTATAGTTAATGTATTTTTATGATAGTCGATTATATTCGTTCATTATGAGATCAAATTCTTTTAATGGGATTATATCGTTATTGAAAGTAATTCGAATCACTTCCTTTCGATAGAAAAATCCGAATTCCTGGGTGCATACTCCGCATTCAATAGTAGAACTAGTCAAATCAGAAATAGTTAAATCAGATTGTTAATGGGAGTATTATATAATCAAGAAAGTAGATGATAAATAAGGCACTCTATTTTTTGATTAGGTTAGCTCTTATGCTGAGAAATTTTTTCCAGAGAATCATTTAAACGAATCATCATAGAAATACAAGTGAGTAGGGAACATCAGTTGGATTTTTTCAGTGATGGATGGAGGCATAATGCGAACTCAAAGTGAAACTCTGAAATAATCTAAAACTGAAAAACTCGGTTTTCTTATCTTCAGAGGGAATATGACTTAAGAGATAACCAAAGCAATATTGTTTTGTTGAAGTCGTTCTTTTCTTCGTTGCTTGTTCTTGATTTAATTGTGGATTTTCAGGAGAATACTCATGTTGATTTAGAGTTAATTGAAAGTCTTATCAATTGTGAGAATGATTTGCATGATGCTAACAGGCAGTATACCATACTTTCACAAGCTTTCATAATAAAGAAAAAGAGGTAAACATTGTTTTCTGATTTTTTTTCTCGTTATTTGATAGCAAATAAGCTAAGTTAAAAAAGTTCCTGCCATTATATATATTGTAACAAGAAAAGTTAGAAAGCCAGCAGTATCAATTTTCGTTGCTTTGTCAGTTTTATTTAAATTTTATTTTTATATTTTATTTAATTTTGTTTATTTTTAAGTAATTCGGGTTATGACGAGTCCATATTGGATTTATTTTTTTCAAAAGGAGGGATCGCGATTTTGGAACAATACGTGCAACATCTGGTAATCTTTTACCTTAAAAAAAGTTCTGTTACTTTACTTTTTTCTTTAATTAATCACGGAGTTAAATTTTGAATTAAATAATGCAAAAAATTTATGATTAAATCCAGTTTGGATTTTCTTCAAATTATATTTTTAAGTTTAAACACTATTTAAACATTATTTTGTGAGTTATATTTCTTTGCCTTTTGCCTTTTTTTCTTTTTAAAAAAGAAATAATTTAGTTCAGAAAGTCTAATGTGTATTAGGGAATTAGGAATCTTTGTTGTTACAAATTATAGTCCTAAATAAGTGTTGCACAACTCCTTATCTGTTTAAAATTCTCTACAGTTCTCCAAGAATAAATTTTTAAATTTTTAGAAAAAAAGGTCATACTTATGTGAAACTTTAATTTTAATTAGTTTTAATAATTAGTTTTTAAATTTTTCTTTCAAGTTTAAATTGTTTATCTTGGTTTCTTATGTTAACTCTTAGTGTTTCATTAAGAAAAAAATATTTAGACTATGTCTAAGAAAAGAGGGAAAAGAGGCATAGAGTTTTTTGAAATGTTATGTATTATTTTTAATGAAAATGTGGAAATGTCTGGAAATATGCAAATTTCAACAAAAAATTAAAAAATTAAGGACAACACTAACAACTTATTTCGATCATTTTCTGATGGTATCGAAAAATGGCATAAGTGACTTTCAGTATATTTGCAGCATCATAAAGGCTTTGTGAAAGAATATTTAATGAACTTATCTAAAATGCTTTGCTGCAAAAGCGTGCGTTATAAAATTTAAAACTATGGGTTTCAGTTGTATGAGAATTACAAAAGCGAATTGTATCGATATTTCAAATCGCATGTCTCACATGGATTTGTTTATTATTTAATATCCACAGCTCAAATGGCTATATTTGTTCATGGCGTCATAATAGATTTTGAAATTCATGAAAAACTGTTAGAAATTTATCCGCTGCATGGATAAACAGTAGAAGATTTATTGTATGGCTTATTTGGATAAAAGTTGGGGTCCATGAAATTAGTCAACTTAGCGATCGATGGGAATGTGACTTGTTCTTTTCAAATACATGGTAAAAATAGGAATTCAACAGAAATAAAGGAATATTACTGCGTTCTGCCAACTATATATCAACAGAACTTAAAAAGAAAATGAATGGAATTCGATAATGTTGTAGGTGATGTAGCAGGTGTGAATTTTTCTACGATTTAATTCCACTTGAAGGCTTTTCTAGAGGAAGTTGACACGACACAGCACAGTTATATATTTCTCTGAAATTTGGCAGTTAAATCGAGGCAACATGTTGCTACGTTGCTTTATTTGAAGATATAAAAATTATTAATTTTGGAAAGTTTGGAAAATTCGGAAATTATTAATTTTAACCATTTGCCATTTATTAAGATCCAAAATGTGATTTGATGTTTCCTATAAACTCATCGTTATTCAGTTCTTAGTTACAATATGGTAATTTATCATTTCCTAAGTTTCAGATAGTTCAGATAGTTTTTGAAAAATATAAAATGTAATATCAGTTCAAATATTATTATAAAATACAAAGAAAAATGCGTTCTCCTCATGCCATTTGTATTGAAAAACTTCAGCTATTATTTAAAGAAAAATTTTCAAACTTTGAAGTTGATAAACTGTTTTTTAGATGTTTTTTTGATATTTTATTTTATAATATTTTACGTAAAGCGTGCAAAACTATTTGAACTGATTGATCTGCAGTGCAGTGGAAGGCTAATGATAAAATTCGTGGTATGGAATTTATTAAACTTGTCAGTTCTCTTCTCAAAAATTGAAAGAAATAGCAGTTATCTGTTTGTGTTTGTGAATATTTGAAGGTTTTTTCACTGGTGTTATTCAGCAAATTTGTCCATAGAGGAAATGACGCCGCCAA